TAATTTAGTGTTTAATTAGGAGCCTTTGCAGTGATTGGAAAGACAGAATAACGTTAGCAGGGCTTTGTCAATTAAAACATGGACAGCTGTTTGAATATATCCAGAAACATACGGTGCCCTGTGTAAGAGGAGTTTTTTTCTGTTTTCAATTACCCCTAAAGCAAAGGAGTCACAACACGAGAATTCCCTAGTTTATTGCTTCAGGCCTGTCTTATAGACAGATCCGTGGAAAGTACAGAAAAGAAATTCTTATTGGCTAGCAAAGTGCTACATCACCATCATTGGTCAGGGGCACACAATCTCTCTGACTCCCTCCTGCAAGGGAAAACAAGAGACTGCAAAACAACACCTGCAAGGCTGTTTAGTGTCCCTGAGAATTGTTTTAATTCCTTCTCATATTTTTCTCAGGATACTTTCTCAGGCAGCCTGAGGAGCCATGCGGCCTGCAATTTGTACAGGCACTGTGGTTCAGATTTAGCATCCATACTAAAGCCAATGGCTCCTGAGTATTTTGGTACCTGAACTCCAAGTTCCTTTGTCACCTCCTCAGAGGCCTCAAAAGAGTTAAGGCCCTTATGCAATTATTAGTTCCCAGGCAAAGTTTTTAAGCCAGGCAAAGTTTTTAAGTAGAACAGGAACATGTGCTTCAGGCTGAAGGTCACATTATGTTGATTAGGCAAATGGTCATCCAGATCACCTCAAAGCTGTATCTCAAAATGATATGATTAGCACACTTTTCTCTATCATATCAGCCTCTGACACATCCATATGGGTTTCTGTTGAAATACTCACCTGCCAGTGGAAGAAGGTGGGAAGATTATTAGCATTCAACTATTTGGTAGTCCCAATATCTCATTTCTGAATTCCTGTTGGATGCTTATTTATATTACTTAAAAATTCTTGCAGGCATCTGAGCTCTGTGAATGGGCCCCAAAACCACTGCTCAGATTCCAAGGTGCACTGGGGAATTGCATAGGTCTTTTCTGTGTATGGAACTTGTGGATTTCATTCAGGGTCAATTTCCTTCCCTGGAACTTGTGTGTTTATATGTGCCTTATTTGCTCTATTTCAAAGAATTTATGTGAAACACCCATCCTGGTATTTCATGGTGGCAAGAAAGGCAAATGGAATTACTTGGTAGAAGGCAATTAGGATTATCACTCCTGGCTCTTTCAGGTATTTAAGTCTATTTTGAGATAAGGTGTGGAACTCTCTCAGAGCTTGCAGCCTTGCAGCCATGCTGGGAAATCCATCAGGTTGCACCACAGCTCCCTCATGGCCTTAGGGTCAGGCTTCTCTCAGGTTGAAAGAAGGCTCTTGTTTTGGAAGTAAGATGGGAAGTGTGTAGGGTGAGAAAAGTTCTGTCATTTCTTTGAGAGCTTGGCAGATGGTTAGACTGATTTTTTATTTATTTTTTTTAAATCCCTTGTACACATTAGAATAAGAATTGCTTTGGAATGTGGAGGTAGCTACATGTACTATGAGTGGGATGTGTATGATTAGGGATAGTAGAAATGGTCTAGCCAAATGCCAGCATGGGCAAGTTTACTTGTAGTAGTAAGGTAAAATTTAGCCCTCACAGAACTCTACGCTGATTTTTGTACTTCAGCTTATCTGCTTCTAGCTCTGAAGTATCTCTACATCCTATTAGTCTCAGGGTCTTACAAGCTACGAAAAGGGGTTTTGGGGCCAGAAAAGGGGTTTTGGGGCCAGCGGTAAGCTGTTTGACTGCTTTCTCCTTCCTCTGTTAGTACTGGTCCTCCTACCTCATAGACATTAGCCTGGCTGGGTAATGTCAGCAGCAATCACATGACTTAGTAGCCATGAGGGTGCTGTGGTGCAGGGCATACACAGGATGAGAAGTGAAGATCATAATGCTTCTATGATCACTTGTTTATTCCTTGTTGAAGTTACCAGTCCTCATCACGAGAACTGCTCCAAATGGGCCACCTCACCTGTCCCACGCCTTCTTGGTGATGAATTTGTCTAAATGTTTTCAAGGTTCCAAACTCATTCAAACAAATGATGGCTGTGAATATACTAGAATTACAGTATTTTATTATGAATAAAAGCTTACTTTGCTTAGTATAAGATACTACTGAGTAGAACTTCAGGTTGAGGCAAAGATGTACCTTTGATCTTGGAGGTGTTCCTGGATGCCTTAAGTTTTTCTGTTGTCATACAAGATACAGATTTCAGTATTGCAAACAGGAAAGAGCTGCTGGCTGGGCTGCTCTGTGAAGTCCTTTGATACTGGAACATTTTGCTGTCCTTGGTCAGACCTCATCTGACAGAAACTCTGCAGATCTGGAGAGGCTGTCCAGAATATTTTCCCTTTCATTCAAGAAGGAGCTTGGCTGAAGTCTTGATGTGTATAATATCTACAGACTTCATTTGTTACTTTCATTTGCATATGAATTTGTAGGCAATGTCGTAGAAGAGCTGCTGAGCATTTCAAGTTTTGGCAGATTTGTAGGATTTAATTGGTGAATGCCTACTGATTAAATTATTACTTGGTTGGTTTTGGGCTTTTTAAAATTTAAAGTGTGTAAATCCAAGCAAACTGGGAAACATGAATTTTCATAGTAAGTGTGCTTGGGAAGTACAATTCATGCAACTGTTCATGGTGTCCCTTTTTCCGTTTGCATCACAAATATCGCAATGAAAAACTCATTGTTGTGAAACTTAGGAATAATGATTCCAGGGGCTGCTACAGAGTACTCAGACAGGTTTGGTATTTGTAAGCTTAAACCTTTGCTTTGGGAAATATGATTCCAGTTGTAATACAACATGCATGCTTCAGTTTTATAGATGAGAGAGAAGCAATTGAATTAGCCAGTAACTACATCCCATGTGATATATAAGCCCATCTAAATACATTTGTATTTAAATACCCACAGCAACTACTCATGGACTGATAAAGAATTGTCTTTGGCTGGTCTCAACAGATCATTTTGATTTATGAACATAGAAGCACTTGAATCTGTTCATGAACAGGAAGACACAAATTTAACTGGATGTATTATTTTATACAGGAAACTCACAAGACGTTTGTAAATGGTACAGCCTGTGTATCCAGATATATCCCTAGTAGTACCTTCTGCATCTTTTGTAGCAGTCTTTGGAGGTATCCTTTAACAAACAGCCCATAATATTTGGGACTCTAAACTCATCTTGAGTTAGAGGAGGAAGTTCAGCAGTAAATTTCTACTTGAAATAGGCACTTCAAAAGCCTTGAAATAAATGCAAAAGGAACAAGGGTTTCTCTAAATTCTGTATCCTGGTGGGCATAGCCTGAAAGGTTTTGAAATTCATATCAGTGAAATAGGTTCTCTTCACTGGTGTGAAAAAAATTCCCCAGTATTAAAGGAGAAACTTCCACCTCCAAATTACCTGAATTTTTTTTTTAGATAAAAGCACCAACTTCTAAAACCTGTTTTGCTATTTTTTTTTTGTTTTGTTTTTTTATCTGTTCCTTCTGTATGTTATTTTTGAAAATATATGCTGGTATTGATCAGTGACCTTCCTCAGTGATGCATTTAGTTGCCAGACATAAACATGCTGCAAATAGCTCACACTGTGCAGGTCTGCCAGTGCCTCCCAACCTTGAAAATGTGCTGTAAGTGAACTGGAAGGAAGGCTGTCAAGGGATTCCTGCCAAAGAGATCCAGGCTGCAATCTGCTGAATGCATCCTGTCTGAGTACCCTGAGCTTGCCTGGAGTTCATTTTTCCTCTCAAGATCATGCTTTTATGTGGAATACTGTTGCAAATCCTGATTTTGTATTCTACTGACTATGCCAATTTGTTAGAATTGAGTGGTGTAGGTAGCTTAAAGAATCACTATCACAGGTATTGACAGAAGTGAGTTTTAATATAAATGTATGAAAGTGCAACAAATTTTAATGGCAATATTCTCTATTATTTACTATGTAAGTGAAGCATACAAAGGAATGTTATTTTAAAATCGTTAGAATGCTTTGCATGGAGGCCAGGGATGCAAGTGGGAAGCGTGCAAAGGGTAAGAAAGACTTTCTCATAGAGTCACAAGGTTCAGAGTGGGCCCCATTGACAAACTTAGCCTTAGACCTGATCAACATTTCATGCTTAAAGGATTTAAGTAGTACTTAATCCATTGACTAATCCAGCATTTATAAAGTAATTCAATAAAATTGACTAAAATTGCAGCAGTTACTTAATTATAGTTCTGATATGTCAGTATTTATGCTTTACTTGCTATAGGGTATTTAAATCAAGTCACACACATGCATGCACACAGACATAATGAAATGTGTACAGAAGTACCTGTGAAAAATACCCGTGTCGAGTGCTTTGGCTTTTCTCAGTGGATGAGGGTTGAGGCTCAAGGAGAGAGTCTTTATCAGCCTATGCCATGTCATCTTTCTCACAAACATGAGAGTTTGCAAGCTCTGAGAGCCATCCCACCCACAGGGAGATTCTGGTGTATCCCACTGAAGTCCAGGGAAGCTCAAAGGGCCTCACTTAGGACCCCTATTTATAGGGTAGCAAGATGTTATCTTTAAAATTTCCCTCCTCAGATCAGTAAGCATGGGAGTTTCCAAAACAATTCCAAATTGTTTCCAATACAATTTCAAATTATTTTCAAAACTCCAATCACAATGGTACTTCTCCCCTTAGGTTATGGTCCAGGGCAAGTCTCAAGGCTGTAAGTGGGAGACTGACTGTGCTCTTGTCCTTTATCTCAGGGATGTTCCAAGCTTAACCACACAAGAGTTCCCATATGGTCAAGGGAACCTTGACCACCCATCTCCTCATATAAAGAGCAAGACCCAGTGGGGATTTCTGAGGCTGTAGAGTGGTTCCAAGGAAGAGTGTGGGGAGGAGAATGCACCACCATAAAGACTTAAGACAAGAAATGAGGAGGTTTTTTACTGTTTAAATAGTTGTGTTTAACTTTATAAAATGGTTTGACTGTGTTTTATTTTCTTTTCTATTTTTTCTTTTTTTCTTTTTTTTTTTTAGGTTTATCCAATGTCAAGGGAATGACAGAGTAAGTAAACTGATGATGATTTTTTTGTCTTTGGTGATGTGAAAGTTAAACCTGTTCTCTACCAAGGGTGTCTCCCTGCAAAATGGCTGTTCAGTGAGCAATGATACCTCTTCATCACAAATACATTTTAGAGGCAGACTCCAGTAGGAGCCTGGGCTGAAGTACTATGAACTGTTATAGTGAGAAGGACTAACATGTTTCAGAAGATTTCAAGGTCAGAAGATCTTTCCTGATGCTGTTTTGGAGTATTATTTGTATCCTTCTTGGTAAGAAGCTAGCTGTGTATCTGTCTGTTTTCCTTAACTCACTCCTAGCAAAATTTAAGAACGTGTGTTGAAGGTTGCAGACATGAGACAGCCTCAGTGCTTCACCAGCAATCACACAAGAGCACGTGCTCTGCATGCCTGCTACTGCTTTGAGCAGTCCTATTGACTCAAGGATGAGGATGACCTGATTTCCTCTACGCTCATTGAGGGATGTCAGTAGGCCTATAAGGAATTTTTAGTGACCAGGCCACTTGCTGAAAATATTTGTTCTGAATTAGTAATTCATATGAAAGCTGCTGTCAGTCACAGCTTTTGCTGTGCTGCTTTTTAACTGTGTAACTCTGCATGTTCTTGAGGGCTGAGACAGAGTTTGATTTGCACCATGTATCACTGTAACATTTTGTTAAAGCAATGCTGTAATTACAAGCACAGATTTCTTCATTTGTTGTACAGGAATATCCTGTGACTTCAGAGAACTACAGGAATGGTGAGTGTGTTGTTGATGCCTCTAACCCACCAAAATATAGCGAGATTATCAATGGAGTAGTTGTCCAGGGGGTCACATTGTAAAACACTTCAAGTGAAATTGTTTCACTAGAGGTACAAGCGTGGGGAAGCCACCATTGCTTTATTGATATTTGTCAATGAGGAATCCTAAAAGTTACATGAAGATGATGTTTTAAACATTTATGCTGCTGTATTTTTATATACAGCTTTTTCATTTTTTTTATACTCTACATTTAAAAACAATAAATTTATCAACACTGATTTTCTAATAGCCATAGTTAGAAAAGACTGTTTATTTAACAAGTATACATTTTCTCTATGTATGTTTCTTAGACGTTGTACATGAGCAACTTTACAGCATGTGTTTGTAGTACATGACCATTAGGTCAGTATACTTAGGGTCATGTTTTTGTTTGTGTGTGGCTATCCTGGATCCTCTCAACAGAGTTGTTAAAAACCTGTGAAGATTTTTAAGTTCTTAAAACAATATTTCAGGGGAAAAAAATTAGAAGTATTTTATAGGCATTGCATAACACTTTCTGGATTACTACTCACCTAAAAAAATTACAAAGAAGCAGAAGTGAGAGTATAACAATTACAATGTTGGAAAATACTTGTTTTTTTAGAGGAACAGAATGTTGAAAAGCATGGACTAACATTTAAAAGGAAAGTCATTAAGAAACAGAGCTGTTTGTTTCAGTGGATTTAAGATCAGGCCATAGATAGAAAAGGTGTGAGTCTGGAATTGTGATATGCTTCTATAAGAGTATAATAGTCTGTGACCAGGCTCTTTAGTTATTCCATACATGGATAGTTTAATGTATCAGGTTTATGTATTTGAGGATATTTTACCTTATGCAGGATTTTGATTTAGTAAGTGATACCACAGTGCACTGAAATCACTATACAAGTACACGTTACACTTAGCAGAAGATAACAACTGACTATATACATGAATCACAATACAAATAAGATTTGTGTTTTACAAGTCTTGTTTGATATACTCACTGTCACAATGCTGATCATCCCCAGTTGCTGGGAAGGAATGTGGACTAAAGCCAGCTCAAGCCTTTGTCTCTTGAAACTTCTGTTTTTCAATTCGTTAGCTTTGGTACTGTGTTGGGTTCAGCCAGATACACACTGTTGTGTGCTGGTTTGGCTAACTCAGGAAGACATTCACATTCTTTTGCTTATGCTTTTGTTAACTGTTTGACAACAAACATTTATGTAGCCAGTCTATCCATGCAAATCATACAGTCATTTAATTAAAATTCTGCTCTCTAGTCCCTTTTCCCTTTTTTGTTACATTCAGCTTTCTCTGCAACAGTGTTGGTAAGTGGATTTTGTCTGAATTCAGTGGGAACATATCTGTGTAAGAATGTGTATTTTCAGAGGCAGGAACAGGATTATTTTTACATGCATTAAGTTGTGGAAAATTCTTGAAGAGCCCAAATATTTTTTTTTCCAGTGGAAGTTTTTCATCATGCATCTTGTTACTTAATCTTCCGCAGAGAAGAGTTCATTGCCACAGTGGTATTTTTTTTCATGTATGAATTTCCAGTTTTTAATCTTTTGGCCTTTCTAAAGTCAATTAGAAAGAATCTGTTAAGGTCACTGGAGACAGACCTTGCCCTTAATACTAAGATACAAAGCTATGAGACGAGCTGTACTGTATTCACGTGAACTTAATTTTATCTATTTGTCTGGGAATGGGGCTAAATTGTAAACCAGTTTAATAGACTTGGGGCTCATTAGGTACTCATTATAAATGCATTTTTATAATCAAATCTCATGTAATTTTGTTACTGTGGAATTAATACACTCATAATGGAAAACACTGGGCATTTCTGTTTCAATAAGTAAAGGAGCCTGTTACATTTCAGTAAGTCAGACATAAATGCCACAGGTCAGAGACAACTAAAACAAAGTTTTTTATGCCATTGGTTTATTTTGGCTAATTCCTACAAACATTGTTGTGCATAAGGTGCAACTATGCTTTTGGACTGAGATGTACATGTGTCTTTAAACTCCCCTTTATTTCCAAACCAAAAAAAGTAAGAGATTCACAAAAGTCTCACAATATTTGTAATTGGGGTTTATTGGTGGAATCTGGTTTGCTTTCCTGTGGTATGAATACCAAGTCCCAAAGTAATAGAACGTTGTCCACCGTTGCCCTTCTAGCAACGTGATATGTTTAAGAATAAACATCTGCTGATGTGTGCAGTGAACTGATGACCATTGATGTTCAGGTCCCTTGGAGCTGCTCTTTTCTTATGGCTGGTGTGCATGCTGTCCCCATCATTAGTGTCAAACACCACTGTCATGCTGGAGTCCATCCTGGACACAGCATAGAGGCTGCTTTGCCGGGTGGGGTGGAACCTGGCTGCCTTTAGCTCCAGCTCATCATAGCTGGACACCTCAATGAAAGGGCACCAGCGGAAGGCTCGCTTGAAGCCAGCTCGGAACCTAGGAGGAAAGAAGCCTGGTGAAAGCCTGTGCTTGAGAGAGGCAGCCCCAGGCCTTCATCTGAAAACATACACACTGCTGGCAGGACACTGACTTGGCCAATTATCCTGCCCTTCAGTCTGGATATGGTGAAGTCAGTGGGAATTTACTTGACTGAAGTCTGAGTAGGGCAAAAAAGATAGTGGTAACAACTCATTTCGGTTTCCGATTTTCTATATACTCTCCCTGCATTTTAACAGTGGTATTTTCCTTAGAATGAATTTCCTGTCCTTTGTCTGTGCATAATAAACAAACACTAATTTTCATAGAACTGTCTCCACAGAAATTGTTTTGATTTGACCTCTAATGAAATCTGCACATATATTTTCATCTTACTTCAGCAAGAAACTTTGTAATATTCTTTTGTCTAAAACATCATCCCAGTTGCCAAATTTCCATATCCCTTTCCATATTCCCTACAGATACCTGTATGGGAATGTTGTAATGGTTAATAATTAATTCATAATAAATTCATTTAAAATATATGGAAAATAATTTTTTAATTATTATGAGGCTCCTAGAAAGCTGAAATCTGAATTTGAGCAATATACAAACAGGCATTTTGAGGCTTGAGCATCAGTGTTTGCAATACACATACAGAGGCAGGGATTCACCTTAAAGACCATTGTTATGTTTTGTATGTATGCATTTCCAGAATAAAAGTTTAACATATTAGAAAAGCAATTCCCTATTGTATCTGTGTCTAACTGGAAAAAGAACACCTTTTCACCTAGACCTAAAGCTTATCTGACTTTCTCACTTGTCTTGCTTCTCTTATTTTGTTTTAACAATCAGCTCTGCGGTTTATCCTGTCTGTAAGTTTTTTTAAGCAATCAACTACCACATGTAGACTGCAGGTAAAAATGCAGATAAGGTGTTCAGTTAAAGTTAATGGATCTCACAGAAGTGACTTTTCTTTCCTCAAATTTTTAAGTTTGCTGTGGAGTTCTCACATGATGACAACCGAGCAAGTAGGTTGCTATTTAGCATCCTCTGTTTACAAGTTCATATTTTGGAAAAATACTGAAAGAACCTCTAATGGAAATGGATTTAGTGATAGGAATTGTAAAACCAAAACATCTTTAAACTGTATTACTTTTCTTGGTACCTTCCATCCTCTTTCTAATTCAGGGCATGTTTATTTCTTCATCTTGAAATAATGCTCTCTTTATCTAGATACGTAATATCCTAATTAGCCTGGAAGATGAGGCTGGGGATAGATGTTCTCTGTCTGATACTAAATCCAGCAGAGGCATGAATTGATCTGACTCCCAGCAACAAGATCTATTTTCCTACTTAATGAAAAGGAAGCAGACATTCTGGTATCTCCATTTCAATATGGAACTTAATTATAAGATAACTGTCACCAGGATTTCATTCTTGCATCAAATTCTGAACAAGGTGATCTTTAGTATGTCTCAAAATAGTAATTTTTCTTTGGCTGTATTCTTTAATACAGACATTTAATTTTTAAGTTTGCAAGTGTCAACATAAGCCATATCAGAGATATTATTTTTTTATGAATACTTTTGTAACTGTGGCATAAAAAGTTTTTGAAGAAAATAGGATTGGTTTAGAAGTTTTGTAGTAGTAATTGAAAAATATGAGGCCTCATTCTTCCTTGCTTTGATTTTGCAGACTGTGGACACTTACTGAAATCTGGCTTCTGCTGAAATTAATGTGATTAATTAATTAATAATTAATGAAATTAATGAAAATTTGCCATTTGAGTTATGATTTTGTTCTGGCATGCTAAAACTTTACCTCATCTTTAAACAGTTGTAAATGATGAAAAGAGGCAAAAGCCTCTACGAATTTAGTCATTACCTTGTTTTTTTAAAAGATCATGAATGTTAATCACTGTAAGTTATTCTCATCAAGGAGGAAGATGCCAGTGTTTTTACACCAATAAAAACTCCTTAGGATTTGTTTACTTATTTTTGATTAGACTCCTTTTGTCAGGTACTGTATGATCTTTAGTGGGGGTTTAGAAATACCTTATACTTATTTAGAAATAACCTTATACTGTTGGTGTAAGGTTTGACAGTAATTAAACTTGGCACTGGCTGCTAAGTTAAGAGATTTGAAACAATATTTAAGATTGCTTATTCAATATTTATTCATACTGACTGATTTGTGAAGTAATTAATTGTTCTTGGTGATCTTTATCCAATAGTGTTAGAAGAAATACTAGCAAAGCAGGTGGCCAGGATGATGATTGTGTAGATCCTGGTACTATAAACTGAAATCAAAGACTTGAGTCCATTCTGCAATGCAGTAGTCTCAGAATAGCAAGTATCTGTAAAACATCACCAAACTCAGCAGATGCAGTACCTTTGAAATTCAGAACATAATGTGTTGCTATCAAACAATACTGTAATTTCGTATTCAGTAATGAGAATATAAACATTTGTATAATATTTGTCAGCCTGTTGCAGATCTTGGAGCACAGAAGAAATCTCATGCTGAGATATACAAAACACAGTAAATCACATTTTATATTAAATTCTTCCAGCAAAACAAAATTTGGGCTACAATTAGTGAACATACAGCTTGCAATCTATATTGTTAATTACTGTCTTCTTTATTTTAATATTTTGGAAACCAAAAGACATTAAACTGCTATGGTTTTTTTTTTCATTTTGCAGGTGGACATGGAAAGGAGTGGTTTTTGAAAGCTGAATTTTGCTCTGAAATTTTAAGTAGACCGAAATATTTAGTGCAAGTCCTCCTTTGGGATTTTGGGGATTCTTTTCAATTACAAACCTAAAGGAAGTTGATTGGGTTTTTTGCATTTTGTTTTCTTTCCCACTAACTGAAAACTACTTAAGTGAAAATTCTATTCCTTTTTTTTTCCATTTAAGCAATTTGTTCTCGGTGAAGTTACGCACCTTGTTTCATAACCAGCTCTTACCTCTTATTAAGACAGCAGTAGATGATGGGATTGTACATTGTAGAACTCATGGCAAGCCAGAAACTGGCTAAATAGATTTGCTGAATGTATTTCCACCGATTTAATTGTTGATAAATCCCAGTAACTATGAAGTAAATGTGGTAGGGCAGCCAGCAGACAGCAAATGTCAGCACAACCACAATCATCATTTTTACCACCTGAAAGAAGTAATAATGATATTTAGCCTTTTTTATGTGGACTAGCATTTCAACATCTATTAATAACATTCTTGTAATTAATTTTTAAAGTCAGTCAAAGGAAAGCTGAATATGCTTTTGTATAGTTTTTCCTTTTAATCTCACTCTCTTAATTATTTTTTTCTTGAATGGAGATCTTCTTTTTCCAAAGAAAAATAGCATGAAAATTTTCCCTTTATTTGTATTGATTTTTACAAGTTATGTATTTACTTACTTATATTTGGCTATATAAAATATCACTTTTCTGTACATCTAATCATGGCATAAGGTTACAGAGTGTTTTATTTGGACACCTCATTTTGGCCTTTATTCACCTTGGTGTCTATTTTTATTGTGGTCTGCAAGTCCATTTCTTGTCCTCAGTTTTTAGATGTGATTTGCATAACACTAGGTTGTAGGAAATGAACAACTGCAGCATCCTGTTCAATTTCAGGGCCTAACAATTCCCTTGGCTGGTGATCCTTATTTGTTGTTTTCTGGGGCATCACAACATCTGGTAGCTACTGTAGTTTCCAGTAAGCATAAATGAAGAGAAGCTTTGCTTTGTGCTCCAAACACATGAAGAAACCTTGCAACTAATGTAAAATTTTCACTCCCATCTTTCTCTTTTCACCTATGTCAAATACTAGTCCAGCTGCCATTTTCAGCACAATATGTCACATGTTTACACCACAGGTTTTATTTTGTAGCTAAAATGAAACTAGACATGATAGATCTATATTGAGAACTCTCTTGTTCATTTGTACTTGTGAATACTGAGGAATAACAAGGATCTCTATGAACAGTTCCTTTTCTTTTTTCTCTGTACAAGGTGACATTTTATACTGTTTCTAGTTTTACCAGGGGAAAAATCCAAAGAGCTGAAATTGTCTGTACTTATATGTCTTTGGTTAATGTTTTTATAAAATTCCAACTAGCATAAGTTTTACATATAAGTGTTATGGTGTCCTCCTTTACTCACATTGCATCTTCCCATGAGAAATATAAAGCTTTTTTTCATTTAATAGCTGGCACCAATTAACAACCTTGCCTGCTGGACGGGACTGTAATGTGCAAGATTTGGCTTATAAGAATACTTATTATTGCTGACATATATGCACTGATTACCACTTTAAGGTAAAAAAGAGGTATCTGGCCACATATACAACATTAATAATAACTTGATTCTTCTGAAGTACTTTTCATCAGTTAACTATAAAAGCATCTGTGATCAGGAAGATCAGTATTATTAAAGGAAGGCAACACACCAAAACATAGTATCACTTTTACCTTTCACATATACATCTGTGTGTCTACATCTAGGCATATACAGAAGTTTATGTGACTATATATGCAATTTTTTGGGGTGGTGGGGGGGAAGAGGTTATGATTTTATGTGGACAGACATATCTGGACTAAACTATGTATGTGAAGTGATGCATAAAATATGTTGTCAAATCACTGCCTATCATTAAATGGCCTTGCTGTTTCACTGCTTTTGACATAACTTCTGCTGTTCTGCTGGGGACTTACACCTCTGCCCTGCACACATTGTATAGATAGAGATAGAAGCCTTATGTCCATAGTTTTACCATTTCATTAGTCATTCATTTACAGGTGCACTGTGCTTGTTGCTGTGTTTTTAGATCTGTCAGGAATGATAAGTATTACCTCAGCACCTTTCAGGACTTCTATAATTTCAGAACCCTTGAGAGTCTAATTACTTACCTTGATATTTAATTAGCAAGTCTTGCAGGACCAGCTGTGCATGTGAAACTGTTCCTAGAATTAGTCATCATTGGAATATCATAGGTACATAATGAAAGGACTTTTGTGTCCAAATTTTCAAAGTGTAAACAGGTAAATCTGGATTTTTACAGTGTACATTTCATCTGTGCAGTGCTTGAGGACCAAAATAGTAGAGCTTCCCAGGAACTAATGTAGCTTAATCTGTTTGAACACTGTCATTCATGCCCCAGAGATGCTAGGAACACAGGAATAGTCCAGGTTGCCTGTTTGGCATACTCAGTTGTGTTAATTTTTTCCAAAAGAAAGTTGTCTTTTTTCTGACATCCAAATGCTCATTGTCTAGTTTTCTGTGCGAAGTTGAAGGGAAGACAAGAAGTGCTTCTGGAGTCTACTTAAAGGTCTCCTAAAGCTAATAAATCTTCATGATCTGTACAAAAAATAGCCTTTAGATTTCAGGTGCTGCAGAAATTACCATGGCAGAATGAAGCTTTGATTTAAATTACTATTAAATATAATATTTCAGGTTTTCTTCAAGGGGCCAGAAATCCCCAACTAACTTTTTACCCTACAAAGAAAATCCACAATTTTTCTTGTCACAGTTTCAGGCAATTAAACTCTAATTTTGAATGTTTACTTTTTTATGTTTTGAAATGAAAAATGCCAAATCACTCCCAGAGAATTGCATCTTTTCCTGCAAGGTTACTCTTTTGTTTAAAAAAAACCAAACATCATCTTTTAAAAGAGTGAGATTAGTATAAGGTTTTCTTGTTGCTGTTTCTGTCTGGAAATCCATGATTAAATAGTAAGTCATCATCATCCTGAAAGCAGAAATTTCTGGAGCAAATAGTCAAACTAGACAATAAGGTACAGATGATTTTAGATGGACATTAGTGTTTGATTTAATTTGTGAAGTAACAAGTCACTTGAATGACAGACAGTGAAGCGCATTACATTCTTAATAATTCAGGTTTGCATGTCATTTTGAATATTTATATAGTACAGTGCAATTATTGAAATATTTCCTAGGAGAAGATAAGTGAGATGTTCCAAGTCTGTGTGGTGTAAGACTGTTGTAAACACAGGGCAATTAAGGTTAAATTTGAAGTCAAATGCAGAAGTCATGAGTGGAATCAAAAAACCCTAGTCTGTTCTCATGTCATAGTCTAAGAATGTGTTGGCAGAAATGAAGGAAAAAAAAAGAATCCAAGGAAAAGGAAAGAAGGAGCTTATCCCCAATGTCCTTTTCCCTTTCTGAGAGAGGCACATACTGTGCAAGGCCATACCTTGCAGTTTATATCTGAGGTTCTTGTCCCTAATGTTAGTCTTTACAGTATAAAGTTTCATTTCCTGATTAGATCAATAATTATGAAGAGAAAGTGACTTCAAGAACTATAAGCCCAGGGCACCCTGAATGTATTTGGAATAAATTCTGATGAACAGATGCCCGTAAACCAACAGAGAAAAGAAATGAAACAGGTCCAGTATGAATTTATCACAAAAACATGATTGTCTTTTCCCAGTAGTGTGATGTTTCACTAAAGAAACCCCAGTGACACTTTACAGGTCCAACTGCAGAGTATAAAAGACAGCTTCAGCACTGGGGTTGTTTTTTGACTATTTAAACCTGTGGCTGGAAAAAAAAGTTCTTTTTAATAGGTCTGTTATGTTCCATTTTTTTCAGATATTACCATTTTTTAGTTGCTTTTCCTTCTGTTCTGAGTTGCATAGAATTCATTAATAAGGGTTTGCTCTTGTGCATTAGGAAACATTTCTAAAGCAAGAAAATGACTGAATTCAGTTGCTTAGCTTAAAGTCTAGCTCTGCTCCTGCCACCATTTCACCATGGAGCTTTCCAAAATGTGAATTGCAGTGAAAACCTTTTATCCCAGTGGCACCATTTTCCCCTGGTGTTCTATTCAGTCTCCCTCTGTGTTTATTGTGGGCAGCATGACTGGAGAAAAGAGGGTTTTTTCTGTTCTAGGCAATACTTTTGTTAAATGAGTTGTACTGAGTCTCCCAGTTGTGCAACCTTCATGCAAGTCTTGAGGCTAGATTTGTAAATGGAAAATCAAAGTATTTATTTTATACATTGATTTTCATCAACCTGTTCTGCTGATATTGATTCACTGCTGCCTGTGTCTAAGAAAAACTATGTTTAGAAAAGATAATTAATTTATGTGCTTTGTCTTGTTCATTCCTTTAAATCCTTTGTCTGAGTAAGAGGCATTCTTCCATTAATGGATGCAATGAGAGAAAAATGTATTTAAAAGAGCAAAAGCAATATAAGTTCATTGGAATTGGAATTTGCAAGTTTGCTGTGAAACATTTGGAACAGTAAAAGTGAAAACAAACTAAACGGATTCTGCTACACTCAGAAAAAAACAGAAGTACATTTATTTTTCCATCCTGTTTTCATTTTGCATGAAGAACAGCTAGAAATGTAGTCTGATTTAACATGTAGCATTGAGAGCAGCTCTTGAAAGATTAGGTATGCTTTTCTGGAGACTCAGTTGCTGCTGGAGGAATACAGCAATTCTCATTGCAAGGCATTGATTTGCCAGCAATACCTAAGACTTGGACCATGCAATCATTTCCTTTTCAATCTTCTCTGCAGCTCCTTATTGCCTTTCTAAGTCATCTTTGATACTGCTGCTTCAACAAGTACAGGAGTTTGGCTTTTGATTTCATTTGCACTTATATCACACAGAACAATTTAATTACTTTCAGAACTTTTACTCCTGGGTGTTATGCAGATATAAATGAGAAGGAAATTATTTAAGAACTCATGGAGTGTAAGAATGTCTTTGTTTACCCTCTCCTGGGTGTTATTTATTCATGAATACAGCTTAAACACAGTTCAGAGATAATCCCTGGGATCATAACTTGTGTCCTGAGCTCTTTTGGGAGAAGTAAAATGCCACACTAACATTTCACAAAGTGTTTTTCCCAGCATGTTGGGATGCAGCCAGTAAATCCACTTCCCAGTCCTGTGGACTACATGGCACTTATACGTGAAACACCAGAGAGAAAGGAACACCAGTATGCCTTTGCTTCTTCACAGTGCTTATTTGGAGTAAACTATCTCTCTTCTGCAAGAAAGTTAGGATTCAAAGGTAGTTCTCCTGACAATAGAGATGGAACTGACTTCTAAGTTACACTTCAGGTGCTTTGACAGACTTGGGGATTTTCTGTATTCTTTCAGCCCATAGGAAAGGATGGATTCTTAATAGCTG